GATAGGTCCAAAGTCAGAGATCTCACAGTTACATTATGTATCTGAGGTGAAAGAAAGATTAAATAGAGTAGGTGAATTAGCTAGACAACATCTGAAGGTGGCACAGCATCTAATGAAGCAAGAAGCAGATATTAAATCTAAAATTCAGACATTTGACCATGGGGATAAAGTATTGGTGCTATAATCAGTAGTAGGAAATCCCTTCAAAGCAAGGTTTAGTGGTCCTTACCAGATTGAGGAGAAGTTGAGTCAGGTGAATTATCCCGTAAAGATGCCTGATAGGAAAAAAATTTTATTGGGTATGTCATGTGAATATGTTGAAACCCTACTATAACAGAGACAGGGAACCAGAGAAACAAGTATTAGTTACTGCCCCTCAAGTTAGGAATCAAATCCAGATGATCTGGATTTTGATGTGCCTCAAAGTAAGTTAAATAATGAGGAATGAGACAGAGCAGTGAGCTATCTGTTTCAGGAACAGAAAACTGAGTTGATAGGCCTGTTGCAGCAATATGAGGACATACGTGGGAATAGAATGGGGAGGACTAATACTACAGCGCATGAGGTGGAAGTAGGGAGTGCTGTTCTAATAAAACAAGACCCCCACAGGCTTAAACCTCTTAAAGCTGCACAGATACAGAAGTGGAAGCAATGCTCCAAGAAGACATCATTGAGCCAAGTAAAAAAAGTGCGTGGACTTTGCCGATCGGTTTGCTTCCCAAACCTGATGGTACTCAATGGTTCTGCATGGATTATTGGAAGGTCAATGCCGTAACTAAACTGGACTCGTACTCAATTCCAAGGCTGGAGGACTGTGAAAAAAGTTGGACAAACCACTGGTATCACAAACTTGGACTTACTCCATGGTTACTGGCAAGTACTTTGGTCGCAGAGAGTGAAAGAAGTTTATAACAATTTATCAATTTAAAACAATGCCCTTTGGAATGAAGAATGCACCAGTCACATTTCAAAGACTTATGAACAAAGTTGTGGCAGGATTGACTAATTGTGCCGTCTATATAGATGACGTCTATATAGATGATGTCATGATCTTTAGCCATTCATGGAAAGATCACATGGTGTATTTGTCTTTCAAAGAGCTTTGCCAATGGGAGGCAAAACTGATCATGAACTTAGCAAAAACTGAATTCACAAAGGCAAAGATCAAGGAATTTCCAAGACCATCCTCGAAAAAAGAGGTGCTTCGATTGCTGGGACTGAGCGGATTCTACTGGAAGTTTGTGCCAAACTTTAGTAGCATTGTGGCACTGCTGACAGATTTTGCTAAAGAAGAATACGAAATTTCAGTCGGCAGAACAATACCTGGAGGCTTTTCAGAATTTAAAGGCCATGTTAACCACCGCACCAGTTTTAGCCACACCAAATTTCTTGAAACCCTTTAAAGCTGCTACCAACACCAATGATACAGGGGTTGGGGTTGTGTTGATGCAGCAGGATAATGGTGGAATTGAAAGGTCAATTGGTTATTTTTCAAAGAAACTCAATATTCATCAAAGAAAATACTCCACCATTGAAAATGAACTGTTGAGTTTGGTACAGGCCATTCAACATCTTAATGTTTCTGTTATAGATAATGTTGCAGAGACGGTTGTGTATACAGACCACAACCCTCTCATCACTTTGGAAGGATCTATGAACAAAAATATGAGACTATTTTGTTGGAGTCATATGTTACAAGCTTTTAATTTACAAACTGTACATGTTGCAGGTTGTAAAAATGTTACTTTAGATGCATTATCGTGGGTTTAAAGAAAATGTAAGATAGAATCAGTATGGTCTAATGGTACATATATGCACAGTTAGTACGAAATGTATAATTTTAGATTACTGACCTCTGTATTTAGCGATAATGGTGTCAAGATTTAGAGAAGAAAAAAATGAAGCCATCTTTTCATAATAATGTTTTTTTTTTCTTAAGGGGGGAGGGGTGTTGCGAAGTTGGTGCGTGTAAAATTGCAAAAATGATAGGGGGGAACAGCAATGCGTCATCCCTTTAAAAGGTGTTTTTTCCAGTGCTTAAGAGTTAAATGGATATCTGACCAGCAGTTTGAATGGCAGCTGCACAGACTGCCTGAATAGAAACATTTTGTATCAAACAGCCAAGCACTATTTTTACCAAAACAAGAAGTCTTTTCAAATTTAGCTAATTAATTTAAACCAAGCCCTTAGCTACTAAAAACCTATCAAATTTAAATCTGATGGCATTGACAATCTGAAATCAATTATAAGAATTCGATGTGTCATAGGGGATATAGAAGACAGGTTTTTTGAAGATCGGGGGACAGCCAACTGCCAAGAGACAAACACATTTTTTTGCTCTCAGAGAAAGCATCAACTGATTAAAATGGCACCACGGCATTTCTAGCTAAAAGTTCTCACGGAAGCAATTACAGAGAAAAACATGCCTGACTGCAGAATCAGCGGCAGAAAGACATTTGTGATGTGAGAACGACAGAAGAAAAGCTGGAGAAAGCAGAATTGTTCAGATTGTTAGTAACTGTTAATTTGTTCATTGTTAGGATGAAATAAATAAATTGTTATTTGTTACATGTAAAGTGGAGATCAGGGATTTTCTTTCTTTTAACCACTCTTTTAACAAATTACGAGGGGAAAGGTAAGCTTCTCTGGGTGTTTCGGAGGTAATTATTAGAGGGAAACCCCTACACCCGTCATAACAGATTAGGGCTTGTGCTTTGGTTTAACTATCAGAGGGGTTCGGCCATTTCCCCTCCGTAACACCATAATACTCTTGCCTTGAAATTAACACACTTGAGCCTATTAGCCCCATTGTGTTCACTAACCTGTCCCTGCCTGTCCTTCCTTTCAGCCTTACTGGTCCTGACTTGCAACATCCCCTCAATCCCTGCACTTGTGGACCTGCTGATGGTTCCTACCCTCTGCCACTCTAGTTTAAAGAGTAGCCCTGGAAGGATACTGGTTCCCCTCCAGTTTAGGTACAACCCAACCCTTCTGTACAGGTCACTCCTGCCCCAGAAGAGGTCCCAGTGATCCCAAAACCTGCACCCTGCACCAGCTCCTTAGCCACATATTCATCTGCCTTATTTTCCTTATAAATGGCACCAAAAGTAATCCCAAAATTACAACCTTTGAGGTCTTGCTTTTTAACCTACTGTTTATCTCCCTGAATTCTTGGTCCGAGACATTCCTCAATTTGCCCATATCATTAGTACCAACGTGTACCATGACCTGTAACTCATCACCCTTCCCTTTCAGGATACCCTGCAGCTATTAAGTAACATCCCGGACTCTGGCACCAGGGAGGTAACACGCCATCCTGGAGTCATTTCTTCGCTGCAGAAGCGCCGGTCTGCTCCCCTGACTAAAGAATGATCTATCATTATTGTTCTTCCTTTCCTCTTCCTCCCCCTGTAAGATCACGCCCGAAATTTGCACTGCACTGGATATGTAGCCCACACCGGTTCCCGAGTCTCCGTTCTGACTGCTCCCGGAGTACATCCCCGTTAAAGTGGGTAATTACCGTTATTACTGTTCACATTCATAATGGAGCGAGTTGCACAATCATGAATCTAACAAACCAAGAAGGCATTCAGCCCTCATCCCTGTACCACAGTGGCTGGCCAGAGGGAGTGCCGCACCATCAGGTGGGCCGGCCAGAGGGAGCGCCGCACTGTCAAGGAGAGCATACAGACTAAGTGGTGTCAGGACTGAGACAGCAAACGCAGAGTCTGTAAGTGACAGCAAACGCAGAGTCTGTA